CCACACCAGCCAGATACCATGTTCACACCTTTACTCAGCCACCCTCGGCTGACTCTGGGATTTGCACTAACCAATAGAAGGCAGTGAAGTGAAACCATGCCAGTCCTGGGCTCATCCTTACAGGAGACTGGCAACTTCCTCTCTCTTGAAATACTTTTGGGATTTTTCCCACTCATTCCCTGTATGAGTGAAACCATATCATGTTTGTCCTTCTCCGATTGACTTACTTCACTCAGCATAATCCCCTCCAGTTCCATCCACATCAAGGCAAATGGTGGGGAAAATTAGAGAGGGTGACAAAACATAAGAGACTCCTAACTCTGGGAAATGAACAAGGGGTAGTGGAAGGGGAGGTGGGTGGGGGAATGGGGTGACTGGGTGATGGGTACTGAGGGGGGCACTTGATGGGATGAGCACTGAGTGTTATACTATATGCTGGCAAGTTGAACTCCAATAAAAAAATATACAAAAATAAATAAGTAAATAAATAAAATCTTTTAAAAAAGAAAAAAGAAATACTTTTGGGGGGCTTTTGCTGCCATGGAAGGAGTCCAGCGATCCTGCTGGAGAGATCCCAAGGAGAAGGTCAAGGACAGGCCCTGAGGCCACATGGAAAGGGAGAGAAGCTCAGACCCAGCCCTCATAGCATGCCAGTTGACTGCCAGCTGACTTGCAACCACATAAGGAACCCCAAGTGGTGAAAACAGAAACATTCCCAGCAGAGCCAATGAGCCCACACAATGGAGCCCAGAGAGGTAAGAACAATTGCTTTAAGCCACTAAGTTTTGGAGTGGTTTAAGACGAGCTACATGTTCATATTGTCCTGCTCTCTTTTGCACTGGCCAGTTTTCGGTCCACTTGAAGGCAGCAAAGCATTACAAAAATTGTCTGTGGGACATCCACTTTTGCTCTCCTACCTCCATCTATTCTTCAACCAGAGACTTCAGCAAGTGGTAAGCATTACTATGTAATGGGGAGGAATACGCACTGACTAGCTGTTGACCTGAATCATGTTCCTTCACATCTCTGAGGCTGTAAAAATAAGGTTGTCAATGACTCCCTGGCAGGGATGTGTATAACATACTGCTAAATAACATACTGCTAATCAGACACCTAGCATGGTACTTGGCACATGTCAAGCATCCAGTGAATGATGTTTATGAGAGGCTGGAGAACACGCCAGGAGACAGCTCCTACTGGTGACAAGTCTCTTGTCCCACTCTTCCCTTATTAGCAAAGACCTAGAAAGCAGAGGTCAGGCTTTCATGCGGCCAGAGCAATGCCAGAGCTTCCTGAGAAAGAGCAGCTGCTGCTTGTTATCTGTGTTTACAAAGAAGGGGGATGGACATTCAACATGAAGGCTGTCCTGTGAACCACTGCAGGCCCCTCAAACCCTTTGGGAAATGTATATCCTTTGGGATATGAAGACTCTGCCTCCCAACAAAAAGAACATCATAGGAGTGAAGAAGGCAGAGATTGAATCTCATTAACTGTCTCTATAACCCCAAAGCCTGGCAACTAGCCAGTGTATGTTCAAAGAAGGCACAGAATTATTTTCCTGCTCCATTCACTGTTTTATTTCCAGCACATAGTAGGTGTTTAGTAAAAATGTGTTGAATGAATAAATGAATGTGGGGATGAATGAATGTTGCACGGCCTGTAGCCAACACTGCAGGTTGCCTGTCCCAAGCCATTGCCTCTGCTCCTTGCTAATGGATTCCTGGTGTGAGTCTGGTGGCAACATGCTGCCCAGGAAGCCTCCTGATGGGTTTAAGAAAATCAGGGCACTCTGGCTCCTCCTTGTCAGGAATTTGTGTAAGGGTGGTCATGCAATACCGTTTAGCCAATGAGATTTTTTTTTTTAAGATTTTATTTTTTCGTGAGAGACACACAAAGAGAAAAGCAGAGACATTAGGCAGAAGGAGAAACAGGCTCTATTTAGGGAGCCCGATGTGGGACTTGATCCAAGGACTCCAGGATCACGCCCTGAGCCGAAGGCAGACACTCAACTGCTGAGCCACCCAGCCGTCCCTAGCCAATGAGATTAAGAGAAAAATCTGCTTGGGCAGATTCTGGGAAAGGTTTTCCTTGGCATAAAGAGAGGGAGCTATAAGAAGGAAATGCCTCCTTTATCCCTACCTTGTGTCTCGGCTTTAGCACAGTATTCTGTAAGACATGATTCCTGGGTTAAAGGCAATCACTCATAAGCAAAACTGAGCCCAAGGATGAGAAGCCAGCCCTCTGAGGACGGCATGGTGGTGCCTGATGAGATGGGCCAGATGAGCTTCCTGGCCACCTAGGACCCCCAGATGACTTGATGTCTGAGACAATGCGCATCCTCAGGGTTTCTGCGGATATTCTGTTACTATCAGCCAGAGCATCTTCCATTAACTTGCTAAACCTTCATGATATCATTATAGGCTGAACTGTGTCTCCCTTCCTCCCCAAGATTCACATGTTGGAGCCCCAGTACCTCGGAATGTGACTGCATTTGGAGATAGAGCCTTTAAAAAGATGATTAAATTAAAATGAGTCCATTTAGGGCAGGTCCTATTCCATCCTGAATGGTAGCCTTATAAAAAGTGGAAGTTTGGACACACAACCAGGAACAACCATGTAAGGACATAGTGAGAAAAGATGGCCATCTACACACCAAGGGGAGAGGCCTCGGAAGAAGCCAGCCCTGCAGACGTTTTGATCTTGCACTTCTAGCCGCCTGAAGTATAAGAAAACAAACCTGTGCTATTTAAGCCGTCCAGTGGTATTTTGTTATGGTAGCCCAGAAAGCTAATACAGATACCCATTGTTATGATCAATTTATTATCCCCATTGTCAAAAAATCCTGACCTCACCATGTATTTGTCCCCAGGGTATGGTTGGGACCTTGGTTTCTCAGTATTATATAACAAGGCAATGATATCAACCCAAGACTGGCCCTCTCAGGTCCTCCACCCATCGACACATCCACCCGTTACTTCATTCAACAAAAATCTAACAAACATCCATCATGTATCAGCACTGAGTGGAATTGTCACAGAGTGTATACTCTGGAGTCGGGCTGCCCAGCTTGGCTTCCTAATTATCTCCTAGCCACTGTGTGACCTGAGGCAAGCTAGTAATCTTTCCTGACTTTCTGCATCTCTAGAATGATACTAAGAATACCCATCTCATAGGATTATATAAAGTCAGAGCAAGCCGACACACGTAGAGTGCTTTGCAAAGCGCTTGACTCAGAGAAGGCGCTTGATGGATGGGGGTCATTGCTTTGCTGGATGTACAGAACGGACAAGAAAGGAGACACGGTCATGTTTTCCCTTCTGTGGTTTCAGTATTGCCCTCCCCACAAACCGTGTGGCCTAGGTATTGCCATCCTGTTTCTCAGAGTAAAGTGAGGTTCAGAGGGGTTGTGACAACAGTCACAGCTTTTAAATCACAGCCTTGAGATCCCAAAAGGTCTTCTGACCTCTAAGCCTTGAGCCCTTTCTTTTTTCTCCTGCACTAGAGCTGCTGCTGGTGGTGGTGCAATTTTTTTTTTCCTGATCCCATAGTTTACGCCAGACATTCTCATTTAATCCCCACAAGGACACAGCTTTCACAACCTAGGAATAATAACCCTGACATGGATACACATGTTTAGACCAGACAGAAGAATAAGCGGGCATGTTATGGGATGGAATGGAAAATGTGGGTCAAAGGGAATTCATTGCCTTCTGAGCGAATGGGGAAGAAAGGGTAATAACTGGTAGCTGTTGGGGCCAGGTGCTTTTGCTAGACGCTTGACTTATAATACTTTGAGACTTTGATAACATTACACCCCCATTTCATGGTTAAGGAAGTGGAGGCTCAGAGAGGATGAGGTAGACACATAGAAAAGGGAAGAATCTAAATCTAGTATCAGCCCAAACAGGATCTTCCCCTGGACCAGCGATCCTCAACAGCTGCTGAGAATCAGAATCATCCAAGACGTTTTTAAGCATACCCAGGGCTGGGCTCCACCTTCAGAGATCCCGCATCAGTGGGTGTGGAGTGACTCTCAGCCCTGGACCCCGGAGAGCCTGCAGCCAGGTGATCAGAGCGCAGCCGGGGGTGGGCGCGCAGCCGGACCAGGCGGACCAGGCAGCTGTCCGGACTGGGCCCTGAGATCCAGGAACGCAGTCCCGGCCCAGACCCGACAGGAACTGTACTCAGCAGCCACGTAAAGACAGCGCCACACCCTGTCTTCCTCCACCCAGAGACGAAACGGCTGCTTTCTTTTAGCAAGAGAAGTAGAGAGGAGTCCTTTAACTAGTCATCCAACGTTCACAGGCGCTTGAATGTGGATTTTAGGCAATGGCATCACATGAGAGACACAGATACAGGGGAATTCTGAAGTCACAGATCGATGTCCTTTCTCCCTCCCATTAGACCAGGAAGTCCAAGTGACATTTGTGTGTTTTTTGGGGGTTTTTTGTTTACAATTCCTCATTGTTCTCGAGTAGAGATTTTGGTTCTCTGTATTTGTTTAAATGGGTAAACATTTTATGTTTACTTCTCCAAAAAAGAAATATAATAAATTAAGTTGCTCTTTGCATCTGATTTTTTTTAAGGAGAGGGAGGCTCAGGGACCTTTATTCAAAACAAAACCAAAACCCTCTCTCTGCTCAAGAAGTTCCATGTGCAGAAGGAATTCTACTGATTGATGCACTTTCGGCTCCTCTAATCCCAGGTCCTGATAGTTTCTCTTCTCTGATAAATCATCTCCACCTCCTGGGCTGGATCATTTCAGGCTGCATATCTGTGCAGAATGCACCCACTGAATTATCCTGCCAATATAAACCCAGCAAAAGACTAGCTTTTCTTGCTTAAGCCAGAAGTGGAACTGGAAAGGGAGTTGGGGGCGGGGGCCGGGGGACACAATAAGAGGGTTAAAGATTAGCCAGGACTCAGGGCTGGGGAATTGACCTTTGACCACAGATAAATAACACCAGCTTCCCCTCGTGTGTGCAAAGAGATACCAGGTTCTCAGAGCATCAGGAGATGCAAGAGAAGGAAGCTGCAGGAGAGCAGGAAGGAAAAAAAGGAGGAGCCGAAGAGCAGTTGCCTTGAACACAGCAGAGTGTCTGTTCACTGTCAGCATCACTCCTGCTCAGCGCCCCATGCCATGGATATAATATTTGGCAGAAATAAGAAGGAGCAGCTGGAACCTGTGCAGGCCAAAGTGACAGGTGAGCGTTCCATATACATGGCTGCCTCTTCTTATATGTTTAAACATACCTTTTTTCTGGTCATAAAAGTAACATTTATTGTAAATTATTTTTGGAAAATCTGGCAAATGGTATATAGTGGGGAATGATCCACAAATCAAGACATATTCTCTGTGAAAATCTAGGTGTGCTTTTTATACACAGAAACTGTTTCCAGGGGGAGAGAGTCCTTTTCACTACTTCCGGGTGAAGAGCCCGGGAACACTACAACTGGCACACATACAGTGGAATTATTCTGCAAAGCGTGACCCGTTCCAAGCTTTGGGTACATTTGTGCAAATATGTGCATCCTAAGTTAAATTCTAGATGGCATGAGAAGCGTACCTGTGCTGCCCTTCCTACATGCACATGCTGGAGGGCATGCAGAGCACGCCCTGGTTTCCTCACAGGTGTTCACTGTGATCTGGGCCTTCAAGTACCTGCAGAACCGTAAGTCAAATGGACCCAGAGTGGGACGCTCTAGGAGAAAATTCTTTTAACAGGCTTTGTGTCTTGTTTTCTTCATTTTTTTTTTTTTCTCTGTCTCTCTCCTCTTGTGTGCTGCCTCTGAGGATGGGTGAGTGGGCTGGCTCAGTCACACAAGTGGTTTCATCTTCAGATACTTGGACCTGGAGGTTTTTCCTGAGTGAGCATTTCTCTATGAGCAAAGTCAGATTGGAGCTTTTCAACCAAGGAATTGTCTCAGAAGGCTTTTGAAAGAATAGCTTTTATGTTTGTTTTTCTCTGATTACAAAGGTAACATGTTCTGTATGTATATGTGTTTTTATGTACATGTGCATATATAAAAACTTGAAAATGCTAATGGGAACACAGAGGGAAATGAAATCAGCTGTATTTCCACCTCAAACACTCCTAATATAGGAGTAGTTTTAAGTTTTTAAAAGATATAGTATAGGCTACAAATATTTTTTTCAAAAACAAATGTATTTAATTTTTTTATTTTTTATTTTTTATTTTTTATTTTAAAAAAGCCTCTAATACCTATCCTTTTATGCTCTGGGATGTCATGAACATGTTGCCCATAAGCCCTACATTTAATAATTGCATGGAAATCCTTGGAAACTTTAGAAACCTGGAATTCTAGCACCTGCAGACTTGAGTGGACCCTCTAGATCCAGATCAGCTGCTCTCCCCACCTCCATCTCACAGCTGCAGGCTCACCATCACCTGGGTGCTTGTTAGAATCCCAAATTCCTGGGTCCACTCCAGACCCACGGAATCAAATACGCTGCAGGTGTAGCCTAGCAACCTGTGTTTCTACAAGCCCTCTGGCTGCTTCCAAGTATGAGAACCACTGCTGTAAATCACACCTCCCTCCTCGAGGGAAGCTGGAGAGGGGCTGTGACTTGCCTGCAGCCAGTGAAAGACAGGGTCCCAACCCTCAGTTGAGGCCTCCAGACCTGGGTCAAGTCTAATCAGTTGGTTTGTGTCCATTAACCAACTGCTAACTAAAGATTGTGCCTATGTGGCCACGTCTACCCACAGAGGCCATGTCCAGGCTTCATGTTGGGCTGTGCATTGTTGGCTCTGAGACCTCCTTGGCCAGTTACTGAAGCATTTCCTGCCTCAATTCTCTCTTATATCAAACCGCCCACATGTGACTTGCCGCATAGGATTGCTGCAATGACTATATGATTAAATGCACCTGCAGCCAGTGCTCAATATGTGTTCTCCTATCTAGGGTTTTGACTGTGTGCTCAGATTCATCTCTCTGTGCTCTGCCTCACCTGCTCCTTCTCCTGCATCTGGGTCTCTGAATAGTCCCATATTCACTTAGTTGCCCAAGGCAGGAGACTTGGTGGCACTTCGGGGTGTCCCTCCCTTCTTCCCCATATTCATTCAAACTCCGAGTCCTATCCATTCCACATCCTTCAACTCTCTGCTCTGTTGTTTCTCTCCATCCTCTCTCTGGTCTTCCCACCTCCTCTTGGCTCCTCCGTTCTCTACACTCGGCACCACAGTCAGAGACAACTTTTGTCACTCCAAATCTAAGCCTACTCCATTAATACGAGCTGTCCAGAAGAGGCAGATCCTAAAAGACAAAGTAGATTAGCAGTTGTCAGGAGGACAGGGCTTTGTTTTGGGGTAATGGAATGTTCTGGAACTAGATGGTGATGGTTGCATAACATTGTGAATATATTAAAAACCTCCAAATGGTACACTTTAAAATGGTGGATTTTTCTATGTGAATTTTATCTAAAAAAAAATTGCACATGTGCAAAAATCTGATCCTCTCATTCCCTGTTTTAACTGACCAAGCTGTCCCATTCTTCTGAGCATCTAATCAAAGCCCTTGGTGTTGTCTCATTGACCTTTTTCACTTGGTCCCTGCCTAGCTCTCCAACCTCAATACTTATGGCTTCCTCATTTGAAAATTACAGACCAGGCTTGCTAAACAACTGACACATCTCCTGGTCTTTGAGCTGGACTTTGAGCTGGTCTTTGAGCTGGTCTTTGATCTCTTGGTTCAAGTTCCTCCAGAGATAAGAATTCAGATATAGGGATGTCTGGGTGGCTCAGCGGTTGAATGTCTGCCTTCAACTCAGGGTGTGATCCCGGTCTGGGGATCGAGTCCCGCATCAGGCTCCCTGAGAGGAGCCTCCTTCTCCCTCTGTCTGTGCCTTTGCCTCTCTCTGTCTGTCATGAATAAATGAATAAAATCTTTTTTTTTTTTTAAAAAGGATTCAGATGTAAGTAGTTTATTTGGGACATGATCCCAAGAAACCCTGGGAGGGAAACCAATAAAAGGGGCATTGTCAAGCCACTGACCACTGTGAGCCATCAGAGCAGAACCCTCTGGGAATAGTGTAAAACATGCCTCATATTGCCTCAGCTGAGGGCAAGGAAGTGGCGACATATGATGCCCAACTCCCCATCCATCTTTGGCTGACAGCCACTTCCAGAGACATTACCTCCAAGGTGTTCCAGCTTGCCCAGCGTATGGGCAGAGTAGCTCCCACAGTGAAAACAAAGCCCTCAAGCAGAGAGCTGAAGATAGTTGCAGAAAGCAACTTTCAAGGAGAGGTCATTGTTAAGAGGACAAAGGTGAGGCATCAACAGCATCTGCTCCAGACCCTACCCCTAGAGCAGTGCCATTCAACAGAGGTGGAATGCATGCCCACATGCATGTGGTTTTAAACTTTCTAATAGCCACACTCTAAAAAGTAAACAAACAAACCTATTACTTATATAATTTTAAAAAGCTGAAAAATATACAGTGATCCCTCTATGTACAAAAAAAAGACAAACCAGTGAAATTAATTTTAAGAGTATATTTTATTTAAAGCAATATATCCAAAATATTTTAAGTTCAACAAGTAATATTTTTTAAATTGCTAATAAGATATTTTACATTTTTTTTCATACTTAGCCTTTGAAATCCAGTGTGAATTTTACACTTACAGCACATCTCCACTTGGACTGGCCAGGTTTCAAGTGCTCAGTGGCCACATGAGACGTTGACTACTGTATCGTATAGCACAGTTCTAGAATGTTCTTTCCTCATGCCTTTTTGAGGCCAACACCTACTCCCCCTCAAGACTCAGTAGCTCTTTCAGGACACAGTCCCCACCCTCCAGCTCTCACCCCACCTGGGGATGAGATTCTGTTCCATGCAGCCCCCTTTGCTGAGCCTGTCACATTGCCTTTACCGTGTTGTGGTTTGAGTGTCTGTTCATCCATCTGCTCTATGGATGGTGAGCAACTTGAAGAGAGGGATGACATTGGCTCATCTTGGTATCCTCAGTGCTGGCACAACTCAGGCATATCCCACCCTTTTTGGAAATAACTGCTAAAGGAATGAATGAGTACAGTGAGTCGTGTTGGGACGGTGGCCTCAATTCCTTTCCATGGCTGTGTCTCAGAGATTTTTTTGGTTGGGACACGAAAACTTGGAAACAAAACTTCCTTTCTCTTAACAGGCAGGATTCCAACATGGCTGCAGGGCACCCTGCTCCGTAACGGGCCTGGAATGCACACAGTGGGAGAGACCAGATACAACCATTGGTTCGATGGCCTGGCCTTGCTCCATAGCTTCACAATCAGAGATGGTAAGAGCACTGTCTTGGTTTGCTATTGCTGCTGTAAAGACAGCCACAAATTTAGTAGCTTAAAACAGCACTAATTTATTCTTATAGTTGTAGAAGTGAGAAGTCAAAACTGGGCTAAAATCGTGGTGTTGGAAGCTCTAGAGTGACAGTCCATTTCCTTGCCTTTTCCAGCTTCTACAGGCTGCCTGAATTCCTTGGCTTGTGGCCCCAGCCGCATCTGCAAAGAGCAGCCGAGTCTCTTGCACACCTGCTCTGCCTCTCTCACTCTCCCCATCTCCCTCGCTTCCATAATCACATTTCGTCCTCTAACCCTCCTGTCTGCCTCTTAGAAGGACCTTTATGATGGATTGGGCCCAACCATATAATCCAGGAACATCTGTCTCAAAATCTTTAATCATATCTATATTGCCCTGTAAGGTAACAAAGTCACAAGTTTCAGGGATTAGAACATGGACATCTTGGGGAGACCATTATTCAGCCAACCACAGGCACAAACCCCCCTGGAAAGGCAGCCAAGGCTCTCTTTCAAAGAGTCCAACCTGCAAATGATACACATTCTCAGTAAGATGAGCAAGAGCAGGAGGAGATTACTGGCTTCGGACTCAGACGTGCCTCAAGTTAAAATAGGAAGAGCACAGAGCTGAAAGGAACAGTATGTTGCTCAGTAGGCAAGGGAGAGCCAATCACTCAGGCAACAAGTTCAGTGCCTTTCCTAGGGGGAGATTGAATGGCTGAATAAGCAAAATTCTGGGTTCAGGTGACTGGCTCATGAGGTGGATTGTAAACTCTTTGCTGTTGGCTGTTGAGCTGGTGTATGTCACAATATCATGCTCTGAGTTCTTAGAGAAGTCCAGGATGGGTCACATGAGGCTTTCAGAGGCTCAGGGTCACATGCTGGGGAAGTTCGTGTCCCAGTGCTTCAGCTTGGTGACATTTTTCTTTAACCTCTGTGTTCCTCACCGGGACACCTGCACCCCAATGTTTATAGCAGCAATGTCCACAATAGCCAAACTGTGGAAGGAGCCTCGGTGTCCATCGAAAGATGAATGGATAAAGAAGATGTGGTCTATGTATACAATGGAATATTCCTCAGCCATTAGAAACAACAAATACCCACCATTTGCTTCGGCATGGATGGAACTGGAGGGTATTATGCTGAGTGAAATGAGTCAATCGGAGAAGGACAAACATTATATGGTCTCATTCATTTGGGGAATATAAATAATAGTGAAAGGGAATAGAAGGGAAGGGAGAAGAAATGGGTAGGACATATCAGAAAGGGAGACAGAACATGAAGACTCCCTAACTCTGGGAAACGAACTAGGGGTGGTGGAAGGGGAGGAGGGCGGGGGGTGGGGGTGAATGGGTGACAGGCACTGAGGGGGGCACTTGACGGGATGAGCACTGGGTGTTATTCTGTATGTTGGCAAATTGAACACCAATTAAAAATAAATTTATTATTAAAAAAAAAAAAAACAAAAACAAAAACCTCTGTGTTCCAGCATGAAAAACTGGTCACTTCACCTGCCTTGGCCTCTGTTTCCTCCTCAGTAAGAAGAGCTTGATGGTCCTCTCTGGAGAGCTGTCTGATAGTTAGAAGGGCCAGGTATCTAGCAAGGACCTGACACCTGGTAGGCACAGAATAGATTAAAAACCACCATCATTGTTGCTGCATTTAAATCCCATCTTTATCTGAGCTAACGTGTATCCAAGCTGTGTGACCTTGGCCAAGTTACTGACCTTTTCTGTGTCTGTCTCCCCATCTGTAAAATAGAGATATCAGAGTTGCCATGGAATTTAAAGGCATTAATATGAGTAAGGAGTTTTGTATAATGCCTGGCACATAATACATGCTTAATAAGCATCCCCCCCCCCTTTTTTTTCTTAATTACCTTCTCTTCTAAGCCAGTCAGCAATTATTTTTTTGAATACAGACTCTATACCAGTGGCTTGCTCTAGGACTTCATGAATAGAGACCCCATGTGTGAAAACCATGAGCTCTGAGTTTGCAAAAACCCAACAGATTTTACTGAGACTCAGCTACAGAGTAGGTGGGTCCATGTTTCCTGACAGCCCTAAGCCTTAATAATCCCTTCCTTTTCTAGACACGAGTTACCAATGATTCATGGGGAAATAATGCTGTTTTGGATGACATATACAAAGAGTAAAAGTACACTGGCTTCCTTTCCATGAGTCCCTGCTTCACTGGGCTGGTCCCAGTTTCCTTTGTGGTCCATTTCAGGTGCTCACATTAGTGCTGCATGGGAGGTGTGCTTGTCCCATCTTTGCAGATGTGGAAATGGGAACTTTAGAAAGGTTTAGTGACTTACCCAAGCAAGGTCACTGAGGTAGGGCTGAAATCTGACTTGTGTTGTCTAGGGTTCAAGTTTGCAACCATCCCTGCTCTCTTCTCCCAATCCCTACACATCCCCCTGAGAAACGGCAGATAGCTTAAGTGGCCCTTCTCAGCTTACTGAATGGTGGCTTTCACATGCTTCCATAGAGACTCCAGAGACAGGAGAACCAGCAGGGCATAACCAAGCCATGGCTGTCTTGCAGAAGCATGGCTGCCATCCACCAAAAGCCTTGAGTGGGCTAAACAGGCACGTGACTAAAGTTATCCCACAGTGTTTAGACTTTCTGAAAGTCTCTAGTAGATTCTCAAACTAAAAATTCATTGTCAAAGGTAAATAGCCATTTTGTCTTTTTTTATGGGATGATCAGTCAGATGTGACCACAAATGGAGACAAGAGAGGCGTGGGAACAAAGCCTATTATACTCACAGGTCCTAGGAGGCACAGCATCTCACACAGGCCCACAGTGGATAGCACCAGGGTGGTCCAGAGGGAGCAGAGGGAGCACATAGCCCGTAGCCTGTCCTAGGGTTTCCGAGGGAAAGACGAGATGGGGCAGATTAAATACTTAGGATCAGCTAGTGTGAATAGTGTTGGCAGGCTTTGGGCTCCAGGGGTGGTCTCTGGTTGCCTGGCACCTAGCCCTGGGGTGATGATGAAGGCAGAGGAATATTGCCTCCTGGAGTGCATGGGCCAGCTAGAGGGGATCTGGCTGTGGATTGGTTAGTTTTCATCTCAAAGACATGCTGGGCCCTTTGCTACTTCTAAGAATTGGCTAGTCCAGGGAAGGACCATCTCCCCCAGCTGGAAAGGTTTTTTAAGATATCAAAACATAATATACTGAAAATTTAAAAACCATATGCAACAGCATGAAAGACTCAGTTCTATGTGTGATCTGGAACTGGCTGGAAAATAGGAAGTACAGAGAGTCCACTCAATTACTTGCCCTTCCCCATCCTGTTCTTGAACCTGGCCTATGTCGAAGGTACATGCCCCACTCCGCTTTCAATGGTCAGCTTGCTTTTCTCCAGCCTGGCGTGGGAGGCCCCAGAACACAGGGTTTCTATTCAAATTGTTGTGTGTTCGTTACCCAGCACTGGGCCTGGCCCGGAGCGGCACTAGAAAACTATATATGGAGCCCAAACAAGGTGAAGATCCCAGTTGATCTCTTCAAATTCACTACAGGGAGTGCTTGCTGGCCACTGGCCCAAGTGCTGCATGCCCACCCACAACTCAGTCCTCAAGACAGCTCCTGAGGAAGGTACTACTCGATTTTACAGATGAGTCTGAAGCCCAGAGAGGCCAAGTAACTTGCCCAAAGACACACAGCTAAGAAGTGGTGGAGGTCAGGTATAAACCCAAAGCTCTCTAAATCCAGAATCCCATGACCTAAGCATTATGCAGTTCTGCTCTACTTCCCCCTCCTGCTGGCGACCTTCTCTCCTTGTCTCTCCAGCCCAATCCTCTCCAGGCTATGAGATTGCCAACATTGGTGTAGGATAGCCTGGCCTCATCTCTCCTCTCCTCTAGAACTCTCAATGGTTCCCCTTTCTACTCCTCAAATAGAAACATAAACCAAAAATGTTAAGTACTACTATACCTGATCCAAGAAGACATGCACAGAGTAAGCAGTGTTCTCTGATTTACAGATAACACAAAGCCAATATTTATTTTCTTTAATAAAATAATTTTTTATTGGTGTTCAATTTACCAACATACAGAATAACACCCAGTGCTCATCCCGTCAAGTGTCCCCCTCAGTGCCTGTCACCCACTCACCCCCACCCCACCCCCGCCCTCCTCCCCATCCACCACCCCTAGTTCGTTTCCCAGAGTTAGGAGTCTTTATGTTCTGTGTCCCTTTCTGATATTTCCCACACATTTCTTCTCCCTTCCCTTCTATTCCCTTTCACTATTATTTATATTCCCCAAATGAATGAGAACATACACTGTTTGTCCTTCTCCGATTGACTTACTTCACTCAGCATAATACCCTCCAGTTCCATCCACGTCGAAGCAAATGGTGGGTATTTGTCGTTTCTAATGGCTGAGGAATATTCCATTGTATACATAAACCACATCTTCTTTATCCATTCATCTTTCGATGGACACCGAGGCTCCTTCCACAATTTGGCTATTGTGGACATTGCTGCTAGAAACATCGGGGTGCAGGTGTCCCGGCATTTCATTGCATCTGAATCTTTGGGGTAAATCCCCAACAGTGCAATTGCTGGGTCGTAGGGCAGGTCTATTTTTAACTCTTTGAGGACCCTCCACACAGTTTTCCAGAGTGGCTGCACCAGTTCACATTCCCACCAACAGTGTAAGAAGGTTCCCTTTTCTCCGCATCCTCTCCAACATTTGTTGTTTCCTGCCTTGTTTAATGTTCCCCATTCTCACTGGTGTGAGGTGGTATCTCATTGTGGTTTTGATTTGTATTTCCCTGATGGCAAGTGAGGCAGAGCATTTTCTCATGTGCATGTTGGCCATGTCTATGTCTTCCTCTGTGAGATTTCTGTTCATGTCCTTTGCCCATTTCATGATAGGATTGTTTCTTTGGTGTTGAGTTTAATAAGTTCTTTATAGATCTTGGAAACTAGCCCTTTATCTGATATGTTATTTGCAAATATCTTCTCTCATTCTGTA